TAACGTAACTTAGTACAAGGGTTTCCATACTGTCCTGGCCTCACTTGACATTCCGCATCCTAACTAAAGATCTCACCTAGTAGAAGTAACATAAAGCGTTCTTTTAGTTTATTCTTTCGTTCCCCGTTTGTTTGCATATATATATATATATATATATATACTGTTAGCGCGGGCGCTTACCTTGCAGCCTCCCCCATCTGAAATATCACGATTTAGTCTTTGAACATTTTAAAATTCTCTGTATTGTGACTCTCACTGACAGTGTTATTTTTTTTCTCTCTCCCCTCCTTCAAACTAACTCTTTGCCCCCCTTATTCCCCCATAAATAAAAACTCCTAGAAACGTAACTACCCCTCAAGAATTTACCCTCTTCAAGTGAAAACATCCTTATATGATTTTGGTATCGTCACAAAGAATTTTTTTTTACTTTACACTAAACAATATGGTTGAAGTCTGTAATGAACTTATTTTGACGGCAGGTGACTGTAGACGGAAAACAAAATATTCATATCAAATGATTCTGGACAAGATCCGTCTTTTTTTTTCCTGAAATAAAAAGTGTAGATGGGATGGGTAGGTATAAAGTAAAGTCATGAAATTCATGTCTTAAAAAGGCTTTTTTTACCAGTTTAAAAACAGGCTTACTTCTAGTAATACAATTAATTAGAAGTTACGGTTATAAATCGTACATTTTATAAACTCTCTGTATGCAGTAGAATAGTAATAATAATATAATTACTTTAGTTAACACAAGTCTCGCTATGCAGTAGAATAATAATATCATTATTTTAGTTAACACAAGTCTTGTTATGCAGTAGAATAATAATATCATTATTTTAGTTAACACAAGTCTTGTTATGCAGTAGAATAATAATATCATTATTTTAGTTAACACAAGTCTTGTTATGCAGTAGAATAATAATATATCATTAATTAGCTAACTCAAGTCTTGTTATGCAGTAGAATAATAATATCATTGTTTTAGCTAATGTAAGTCTCCTTATGAAGCAAAATAATGATAATAAGTATTACCACTTTAACTAATACAAGTGTCCTTATGCTGTAGAGTAGTGACATATTAAATCCGAAGTAATGTTTCCTCAAAGTGGTCTTGTACTAATAACAATATTAAAGTACTGATGTTATTTCCTGTCTAGCTATCTGCATGCTAGTTGGTGTACTGACCTTTCCGGCCGGCTGGGATAGTGAAGTGGTCAAAGAGGTTTGTGGTTCGGAAGCAAAGGACTACAGCCCAGGTCAGTGTGAAGTCCGTTGGGCATACATCTTAGCAATTATCGGAGTTTGTGACTGTACCGTATTAGCAATTCTGGCTTTCGTACTGGGAACTCGTTACGTCAGACTACTTCCGGACCAGTACGTATCAAACAGTTCACCAAAGCAAGGTCAGTATATTAAAAAATAATCAACTAAACGTTTTGGTAAAATACGTTTCATATCAACATATTAAAGTTGATACACTACCAACGTTTAAATAGCAGAAGTTGTTAACTTTGAAATTACCTATGTACAATTCCTCCTTTTTATTATTAATTCTTTATAAAGTGGAAGTCAATTGGAAATCGTCACCAACCCCAAAGGAAAAAAAAAATTCGTCACAGAAAAAAAAATAATTTACTGTATCTAAGCTGTTGAGAATTTGAATAAAACTAAATTAGAATCAGTTAAATATTTTAGCATATCGCTAAAAATCTCAGAATATCTGTGATTTAAATAATGATTTACGTTTTTGTAAAACATTATAACATAATAGTTTACTTCAAACTTAAAATGTTATTGTAAGCTGTTTGCTAGAGGGAGCTGCTAATCATGATAATGTTGTATTAATCGAGAAACTTCCATTAATATCTAGATTGGGATATTAGTTATGAATATTGGTGATGAGTGATGAAGTGTGTGTGTGTGTGTGTGAATGATCGAGTAAAGTTATCCAGTAAGAGGTAGTGTTCCTGTAAGTCTGTCAATGCGTTAGTCAACATTTGTTGACGCTCATGGAAATTTTATTAAACGTTTTTAAAGTAATATACTTACAGTAGTAACAGAGTTTAATTGGAAAAGTTTGTTGTTTATAAACTTAGATCTACAACTTGCATCAAAGTCAAAAATAGCAAAAGTTTTTAAAGAAACAAATGTATTCGCCACAGTTACATGGACTGGACTTAGCATTATTTTTTTTTTTACCAAATAATCCAAAAAGAACTCACCCAATGATAGAACCGCATTACAACAATATTAAGATCTCATCCAATGATAGAACCATATTACAACAATATTAAGATCTTACCCAATGATAGAACCGCATTACAACAATATTAAGATCTCACCCAATGATAGAACCATATTCCACCAATATTAAGATCTCACCCAATGATAGAACCATATTCCAACAATATTAAGATCTCACCCAATGATAGAACCATATTACAACAATATTAAGATCTCACCCAATGATAGAACCATATTCCACCAATATTAAGATCTCACCCAATAATAGAACCATATTCCACCAATATTAAGATTTGATAGGACTAGTACATTGCAGCTTTTTATCGAAACAACAAATTTGATAAATTAGGCTAAAAAAAATCTGAATTTATGAAGTTATTTCTACGTTTTTAAACCCCAGACGGTTTTAACTTACAGAATATTTCTGTATATGATACAAGAAAGTCGTCAAATATTCACGACTTAAACATTAGTTTTACAAAAGTTCACGCGAAAAAATCGGGCTTTATTCAAACCTTCGATTTTCACGTGCGTTAAATATAAGGAAAAACTGTCAAATTTATCTATAATTAAAGCTTTTTAATTTTTAAGCTGACACTATACTAAGTACCTTTATACGACAAACCAGTTGCTGTTTTTTGTTTTTAAGTATTTGATTATGTTAATAGATCTGGTCTTTGTAATACCTCAAATGACGACACATCCATTACTTAAAAAATAAACATATGCGACAGGATACCAGACTATTCCACTTGTGAGTAAGTATGTCACGTTTGAAATACCAGATTTTGGTAAACCATGTCGTCTACGAAAACGTGATTTGTGAATATAAGGACGAGTAAACCCTGAGGCTACAACCTTAAAACCCAGGAAACGTGAGTTTATTCAAATTACTATTTGATATTATGTTTTGAAACACGTGTACACTAAGCACGAGTTTTCGAAAAACGAGATATCACATGAAAAGCGCTAGATTCTGGAAAAATAGGTTAGTGTGTAAGCCAAAAACTGGTAAGCTGTGGCGATCGGACACTGGTCGTTGTTTTTGTTAATAGCCTAATAGATTATTAGAAATAACACTATGGCAACTACTAATGGGGATGTTTGATATTTTCAATTTGAACTCGTGAGCTAAAGAACCAGGTCTGAGATCCAGTTAGTTTAGAAGTCGTTTATTTACCACAGGGACCAAATGTTTATAATATTGAATCTTAGGAATGAGTTGTTTATACCCCTGTATCACAGTTTCAGAAAGTTTGTATAAGCATACATTTTGTTGACAACTGCTATTTCTTTGTTATTTAATTTAGCAGGTGACACATCCATCAACTACATTTCAGAAAGACATTCCCTCACCTCTCAGAAGTCCAACAACAACCTGCAACCTCCGATGTTAGTGCCTCCTATTTGCGATCCGGAACGATTTTCAGAGTTTTCTCATCGAACCGGCCATTCAAAGAGTAGCTGGTCAAGAGATGATTTTGAGTCTTCAATTAATAACTATCGACTGTGACGTCATGTGCAATTTTGCACAAATCAATTGTTTCAACTCAGTGTTATAGTTAATAAGGTGACACAAACCAAGATATTCGTGACAGTATTATTCCTAACGTTTGGAGAAAATAATGTATTAAGCTGATATATGTCGAAGTGGTAATTGTTATTAGATGCTTGTGGTACTAATTGTACTTTTGTTAGTAGTTCTTTTAAGATTTTAAATTCTAAACTGTCTAATTTTTATTTAATGTTAAACGGAAAGGGACGTGAGTAGAGTTCACCGGGAAATTTCTCGATTGGCCGGTCCCAAATACCAAAAAATTAGGTCTGTTGATACAACTCGGTAACCTAAATTCGTAAAATTACAAATTATCATTAGCTCGCACTCTGTAAACGCAACTCCCCTCTTAAGCGTAACTGTAGCCAGCTTCAATCGGCGTGGGCCGGCCAGTAAGAGATTTCCAGGTGATGTAAAAGTGCCAGTGAATTCCTTCTTTAGAACTGACTTCAAGACAGGAAACTCCACTAGTTACACAAAATGAGTACCCCAATCATTTTTTAAGGTATATGTTAGAGTAAGCTGTTGTTTTTTTAAGTTTCCTTAAGATTATATAGAACTGGTGATTTTGTTTGACCAGTTCATGAAACAATCCCAGGATTGCTGGAGTTCTCGGAAACTATATAATCATGTATTTCATTCAAATAACATTATGACCATAGCCTTTACCTGCTGTTACATTTGCAAACACACGAAAAGTGTAAAACAATGAGTATAAAGCCCTGTGCTGCTTTATATTTTATTTGTCTCTAGAGCTCAAAATGTTTAAGAGTGAACCTTAAAACTATCTTAATTTTAATGATCTAATTTTCACGGTAATGCTGATTAAAAATAAGAATTGTTTTATTTTTACAGCACGAAAAATTGTTGACTCCTGTGGAAAGATATAATTTGTATAGCTATGTTGATAAACGCGCCATCTACAGTTCATTACAAAAACAAATCAGAAAATATTTAAAGGGAATTTACAAATCATTTGCACCTTTTTTTCTCTTCTTGTTATCAGATATCAGCCTTGTAATTCATGTGCAAACTACTACGATTTAAAAATAATTACCCATGCTTTGATATTTCTTTTTGAATTATTTGTATAGTTTGTCAATGAACAAAATTTGTAATGATCACTTAGCTAGTAAGGAAACTATGGAAAGCATTATCAAACTTGTTGAATTATTTAATAGTATAATTTAAAACTATGTGATAAGTTTTATAATAGATTAGATAATTAATTATTACATATATGACAAGATGTAACTGTATATTTTTTTTTTACGCGGGAGCATAATACGAGCTAAATTAATCACATTTGTTCGTTTTCAAACGTAAAAAATAGTTTGCCCCTGAAGAAGAAAGGTCCACCTTTTGAAATCGTTCAGGTTATACGATTTTTATTCATTAATAGTCCACTAGTTATACCCTGAGGTGTAAAATATGGCCACAGGAGGAATAATTTCGGTCAACGTCATTCATTTATTGATTTAAAGTCACGATTGTTTAACAACACATAAATTAATGAAACAAGGTTTCAGCATGATCTATATAATAGTAGTTTTTCAACTTTTTTCGAATGCCTGGAGCTCGTTATGAGAACATGTACCACCCTCAAATATGTACCACCTTTGTATGTGTGTGTGTGTGTGCGCGCGCGCGCGCGCGCGAGTCTGTCAAATAACTTGTTCATGGCTCATTTTTCACGAAAGGAGATCTTCGTATAAACTCCGAAGCAATATTCTTAAACTTTATTTCTTAACTGATTTTTTTTTTAAAGTGTTCAGCTGCAGTGTTACTGAGTTTTCGTGATTTTTAAATTACGTATATATTTGTGTTTCGTGACACATGTAAGAACGATCAAAATCGCCAGGTACAAATTATGGAATAAGACATATCCTGGTATGAGGAGGAAGCCATAGAACTAAACCTCACACAGCGGTGGGGATACACTATCTGTGTGCAAGTCTCACATGCAGAATGGAGCTATAACCTAAAAGTTAGGAGCCCCTAAAAGAAATAAGGCAAGGAACTATCTTAAAAATAGAAACTGGAAATACGATCCTGATAACAATGGTGCCAACTAAAAAAAATCGTTACATATCTGCACACTAGGTGCAGGCGAGTACTGAACTCATTGTTGAGTGTGGTCTGGGTCTTATAATGAAACCCAACTCGCACAGGACGTAAAGTAAAAAGAGTCTGAACTTATGTGGAAATATGCTCCAGTTTGAAACTAAGTGATTCCAAGCACCACTTACACCTGTAACTATACTCGCATCCAGAAACGGCGGTCATTCAACAAAAATTATGTTAATATCTTATTTATACCTTTAACGTCTATTCAAAGAGTTCGTGGATTTGACTAATCACGATCTTTTTCTTTTAACAGAGACATCACTGATTTAATCTATGAACCCCCCCCCCTCAAAAAAAGTTTTTTCCTGAATAATCTTGTCACTTTATGCACACAATGAACTATAGAATACCATTACTTGGCAGCACCCGCCACAGTTAAACGGCTGCTCTTATCGAATAACGGAATTGACTGTCACCCTTATAATGCACTCATAGCTGAAAGTGCAACGCATGATTGGCAGCACCACGTCTCGAACCCGAGACCCTCACATTCTCATTCCTTACACTAACCACTCAGACCTTTAAATTAAAGCCACCATAGAAATATTTTGGCCACAAATCAAACATGCCATCATTAGAGAGCGCCTTGAAAGGTGTGAGTAGCATCTAGCTGTAAATAAAGAATGTATTTAATATTTCACTTTATACCAAAATTAAGATGATAAGTATCGTAGCATTTTTTATTTAGTTAGTAATCAATATTTTCATATATTAGCATTACAACTTCAATGTACAGTATCTATCTATCTACAATTATGTATATATTAAGGTGTTAGTATGCATTTTTAACAATGGGATTTAAGGTTGTCTAATAAAATGTCTATGCACGTATATTAACAACGTGAACATTCTCATCACGAATGTATAAAATAAATTTTTATAAACGTATTGTTTGTTTGTTTGTGGCAATATTAAAGAAACAACTAAGCCAAAGAAACATTTAATTAATTTTTCTTTATGAAACTTGGTGGAGTTCATAAAGTAGACAAGAGTAATTACCTACTACACTAATAATACTTACTAATTCAAGGTGTTTTCGATTTGCCCTGTAAAGGAAGACAGATAACCCTAAATGTCTCAATACATCCAATACCACATTTTGTCATATTCCTTTAATGAAAGACTTGTGTCCAGAAAGAAGTGAAATTTTATTTTCTGTTGCCAACCGTTTCAAATTACAAAAATAAACGTACGCTAATAGTGCTGAGAATGTGAGAAACCAGCCATCACTTCTCAAGATGGTCTCTGTTAGATACGACACACGTTCTCCATAATTTGGTAAAATTAACCATAACTAGTCGCTAAAATGTAGGTGTGGTATTAAGAAACCCAATAGTGTCTAGCTGCTTTCATTTTTGGGCAGACCAAACAAATTGAAAGTGATAGGTACTAAGTTAGTCCTCTGTACAATTTTCAGGATGGTGAAGGATCATTCATCTGAACTTTTCAACTAAAGTGCTTATAGTTACACAACGAGCATTGTGGGCCTGACTACATCACGTTCCACTAGAAAAACGTTCATTTTGATGGCAGGACGCGTTGATTCTGACGTTTGATGGTAAACGATCAATGAATACAACACACTGAAAAATCTTTCATTATTATCAGAGTTATTACAAACTTGTATCTTGACAGAAGTATCGTATGACAGTAATAAATCCAGTTCAACTTAAGTTATATTATAATCAAAAACGTTGTTGAGTCTCCGCAACCTAAACAGGTTGTGTTTTTAACCTTTTATGACCAAAGATCATATTTACTTCAATTGTGCATTAATGAACCTACTGGCCTCATTTAATACTGAACTAATACTAATACGATAGTTTTTGAAGAGTATGAAAGTACTACCTTAGAGAAAATAGAAAAAACGTACTTGCTATCATCGCTGCCATTTTACATAATTTCTCCTTTAAGATATCAACCGCCATCTAGCGAGTGTTTAGTGTAAAGCGTATTTATCCCCATTTGCGCACAATATTTATGATGATAAAATTTAATGTTAAGAAAGACAATTACAACTTTTAATTTTTTTTGTCAACATTTGTGTCTTATAGACTCGAATAGGTTGGCACTCAACTTAGGTAATAACAGTCTACGCGGGTCTTGGTGCTGATACATGCCTGTGAAAGTCCATCACACACACACACACACTTTTGTCTCTTTTTAGGCTAAAAGAAATTCAATGTTTACTGTAGCATAAGCTTTGGAACAAATTCGTAGTGAAGGTCAAACTCTTATTAATAATCGCTAAAAATCAAACACAAATATTTTTATATCGTAAGTTTGAATAGCAGATCGGATACAGTAATATAAACAAACCCAACATAAAAGAATTGAATATTAATAGAAGTCTCGTACATATGTATGTATAAGTTTGTTTGTTTGTAGTTAAGTGCAAAGCTATACAATGGGCTATCTGTGCTATGCCCATCACGGGGATCGAAACCCAGTTGTTAGCGTTATCTATATATAATAAAACTATATATATATATATGTAAACCATCGTATATATATTTGTATATATGTATAAGAAAAACATCATATATATTGTGAAATCGCAAGTTTTTATGTATCTCCCAATCGAACCCCCCCCCCCCCCCGTTATAACAAATTTGGTGAATATCCATTTAGAGGGAGCAAAGTAGTGGTAAATAACACAAAAATGCCCATAAAAATCACAAAGGGTAAAATGTAAAACTGAAAATTTGCATGTACCCCTGCATGGACCTAATGAACCTCCATACCACTTTGGTGAAGATTTATCCACACCCTGCGACGTAGTTACATGGACATACAACAGACAGTACTATTATTTTTATATACATTTCAAATTTAATTAACTCAAAGCTTTAAAACAGTATATATATGTTTTTGTCATAAGATCTTCCAAAAATCACTTCGCTGTTCAGACGACTGCATTCAGAAAATCTATGGACACACTGTTGTGAAACTCAGGATGTAGACCAACTTGACCATTCGTAAGACAACGTACACATTGCAACAACATGTAAATGATTTTTGGATGATGTATGCTACTAAGATGTGTTAACATGATGTCATCCTAAAACACCACGTGACTGTGTACGTTGTCATCCACATGATCACATTGGTCTAAACACCGAGTTTCGCAACACATGATCACATTGGTCTAAACACCGAGTTTCGCAACACATGATCACATTGGTCTAAACACCGAGTTTCGCAACACATGATCACATTGGTCTAAACACCGAGTTTCGCAACACATGGTCGAATTGGTCTAAACATCAAGTTTTGTGTCTATCGGTTTCCTCAACTCAGTTATGAACAGAGAAAGTGACATTTGAAATATAATCTCAGTAACAATAAATAACTTCTGAGAACTAACGAGCCATGCATACCAACTCAATCAGGTGAAATAAACTATACTTTGTGGGAAACATATATTTTGTAGAATATTAATAAAAAAAAAAAAGTCCGGTAATTACCACGGTCGAGTTTCAAAGACTAATTGGTAAAGTTCAATTAAAATGAACAATTTACAAAAGAAGTCAGAAAGCGTAAAATTTCAACTAATTAATCTACATTGAATAATTAGTCGGATACCTTTAGCAATAAGTGTAAGTTAATATCTCCGACTTCCCGAAGTCGTCATTGCAATAACAGACAAAACAGAACGTGTGAACCGACCATGATTAGTCCTAGCTGTATATATTCTCACAGCAGGTCTCTATTACGTCAATCTTATATTTTATATCACCGAATAGTGAGACTTGATTGTCACTTTTATAACGCACCCACTACACCAACGTGCGGAGCATGTTTTTACGGTAACGGGCAGCGAACCACGAATCCTAGGATTTACAGTCACAGCCCATGTAGAGATTGAATATACAGCATTTTGATTGGAGTTGGAGGCAAGTCAGTAGACAAATTAGTGTTGTTGTTTTTACATTACTTATTGTATGTAGTTATTCAACATTCGAAGCTTATTTTAAAGTGAGCGTGTTATCTATTAACTCCAGTGAGAAATTACACTGAAAACGACGTCCAACATCAACTGAAACCTGAAACCAATAACCTAGCTAAAGCGTATCCTG